TATTTTATCATATTTCTATCAGAAGAACTGATGAACTGTTTTCATACCAAGAGAGATGCTTTCAAAATGGTAAGTGAAAAAACACAAATTTATACCCACTCTGACAATCACAAAAATATTTCTGTATGGTACTTTATACACAGAGAGGTATATTTTTGTTAATGCAACTTTGATAAGCCAACAAAGGGCAGACAGAATGAGAAGTATAAAGCAACAGATGTCTTCTGGAAAGCACGATAGCCAGTTAAGGGGTAAAGGAAACAGTAAAATTTAAGAAGACTGGGATTAAAATACAACAATAATAAGAAGAAGGTGAACTGAAAGTCTTCAAGACAGAGTATCTGCCCTGTGGCAAGTGTTGAGAAGACCTGCAGGAGCTAAACCAAGTGCCCTAGAAAATAAGGTGTAGAGCAGCATTTCCCAAAGTGCTTTTTGCATAGTTGTCTATAAAGATTACCAGGTGTTACGTGGAAATAAAAGTGTAATGAAGCAAATTGGTGAAATCCTACATCTCATAAAAGTAGATGGGTTCTTTCTTTTGGAGTTTTTTTTTTTTTTTGGAGACAGGGTCACTTTTCTTGCCCTCAGTAGGTGCTGTGGCATCATAGTTCACAGCAACCTCACTCTCGGGCTTAAGTGATCCTCCTGCTTCAGCCTCCTGGGTAGCTGGGACTCCAGGCACCTGCCACAACACCCAGCTAGTTTTTCTACTTTTTTTTAGAGATGCGTCTCTTGCCGAGTCTGGTCTGGAGCTCCTGAGGTCAGTTGACCCACCCTCCGCAGACTCCCAGAGTGCAGGGTCACAGGCGGAGCCACCCAACAGACAGGTTGTTTTGTGCTAGACTCATTAGCTCTTTTAATGAGCATGTTCCAGGTGACAGGTGGAGGCAGAACACAGAGTGTGTCATTTCCGACTTGTCCCCGAGGCCACACGTCTACGGGAATAGTGCTGTGCAGAAGCTCTTCAGAAACACAGTGGGATGTTACTGGAGGTGTCTGTGAGCATGCTGTGGCTTTCTGAGGGCAGGGAAGAAGCATCCTTCACAGTCAGGGGTAACTGGAAGTCTTTTTGAACCACACATATTTTTCTTTTGAATATAAATCTTGAAAAAGCTAATCTAAAAGTAATCTTTGCTCTTAATACCGGAAGCAATGCTGTGTGGAGAGGTCAGACTGGAGACTCCCTGTTTGCTTCGCTTTTAACCTGCTGGGCAGCAAACCCGGCATACCTCTCTGGGCTGGTTTTCGGCACAGGCAGAAGGTTCTATTTGTAGTTAAGTATACCCTGCCGGAGTCTCCACATCCTTGTCTCCCTTGCACTGTTCGGTCCCAGGTCCCAGTACTCATGTCAGGTTGCCGACTGCACGAGCTGGCCAGATCCAGCGCTGCTCACTATCCTCCCGCTCCCGGCCCAGCACCGTCCAGCTCTGCTGTCTGTTACGTCCCTGAAACGCTCTCCTCTTGCTGTGTCGGTGTCTGTACTCGCCTGGCTGGGTCCTCTCTGGCTGGCACTGGTCAGTTTGCTTGGCAGGCTCTTCCTCCTCTGCTACACTGGAGAGCTCAGGTGGGAGCTGCCTTTGCTGCTTCTGTACTTTCTTCCTGGGTGATGTCCCTTTGTCCTGTGCCTCCCTCTGGATAGTGAGAATTTCCAAATTTATTTGCTTGTGCTCAGGCCATAGATATTTTACTGCTTTACATTTAACTTCATATCTCACATACATCAATATTAATGTGTCCACAACCCATTCTTTGTCTTAGTAAACAAAGAGCCATTTTGCCAAATCAAATTTTGATGCTATCCTCTACTTACTTACTCATTCTTTTCTTTCTGTGATGGTGGCACCATCATCCACCTCATTTTCCTCTTCAGTCTGTAATTCTGGTGTCTACCCGGACCCCACTGTCATCCTCGCCACTGTAACCTTTAACTTGTATTACTACCATTTCTCTTCCAAGTCCCCACTTTACCCCTCTTCGGTCTTGATCTACAGAGAAGTTGGTTGTCTTTTCAAAGTATAAACCTGATCGTGATACCCATTTTAAGCATAATGCTGAGCACTGAAGTTTGAATGAACCCCCAACTCCTGATCATGGCTCTGAAGTGCCCATCCAGCATCCCCAGCTCAGCACTACTGTACGTTACTGGGCTGCTCGGTGCTCCTGCCACACCGGCCTGATCTTCAGTCCCTCCAACATGCTGTGGCTTCCCGCGGAAGCAGCTGCCAGCTCATCCTCCGCATGGCGGTTCCTTCTCAGTGTTCAGTCTTTTCTGAATGTCAGAGAGCTCACGCCCCTGCTGTCTGTCATTTCAGAGCACTAGTCACAACCAGAGTTTCTTGCACTCTGGTTGGAAGCTCCTGAAAGCAAGAACCCATGTTTGTTTTACTCCCCAGTGAATGATCAGTGTGTAGCATGTAGTTGATGTGCTCTTTGTTTTTTGTTGAATGAAGAAAATGCAGATAACTGAATTCTGAGCTAAAAACATGCAGCTGTAATGAGTTTATTTTCATGATAGTCCTTTATATTCATTGCCAACTCTTCTTTATTCTGAATATAGTTGAACTCAAGAGTAGTCACTTTTTGTTTCATTCAGCAAATACTGACTCAGCACAGCACAAGGTTACACAGATGAGTGGTAATAGGATATTAAAGACAAATTACAGTGATCTGATAAACAATTGAAATACAGTGGAGTGGGTACATAATTAAGGCTTGCCTTAGGTTCATCAGAGTACCAAGTACAAAATGGGTATTTTTGAGGAGTGGCTCTGAAGGGCTATAACAGGCAGGGTCTTAAAATACATCCATGCACTTGGGTGTTGAGTGGGAGTAGGAGGGATAGAGGGGCATTTGTCCTGAGTTACAGTATAACTCAAATACAAACACAGGCAAGTGGAAATTCATAGTCAACAATGCAATACTCTGCTATTTCAGTAATAGCCCCTGATACCCCAGACTATTAGGTTCCTGAGTTTCTGATAGCAAATAATAAGAGATTGGATAGCAAGATAGCTCCACAAATTATCCAGATCTTTTCATTCCTGAGTTTGAGTAGGGAGAGCTGCCTGGGGTGGTTTATAATAACGAACAGCCCTGGAAAGTACCAGGGTGAGGCTCAAGATGGACAAGGATGGGATCCTGACAGAGACCGGCTGAGGTGAGATTCTAGGGAGCCACTGAAAGATTTGCAGCAGGTCGCTCGCTATTTCCTGCTTAAAATCATTAGCATTTCAGAAAAATCCTTTTGTTGACAGTTCAGGAACATGGCGTGAAGGCAGAGGGCTCAGGAGTGGTTGCTAGGGAGAGCTAATGAGGAAGTGAGTCAGATGCCGGGGAGGGGACGGAGTTAGGAAGCACACTGGCTGTTTGGTGAGGTGAAGGGAGGCGATTTCCACATTTCTGCTGGCTTGAGACCTGAGTAGACGGAACTGGTGAGGAGCACGCTGTAAGAGGAAAGATCTTTTTTGAAATTCTTGAGTTTGAGGTAGTGATAGGTCATATATTCTCAATGGATATGTATTCGTGGCAAATATCAGAAATCTGAGTCTAGGTTAAAGGTATCAGTGTCCGCCAAAAACTGTTGTCCTTGGCAATCCCCATTTGAGGAGCTAAGACCCAGGGAGAGCACGCAGAGGGAGTGACACAGCCAGGACAGAGCCCCGTGCACAGGCATATTTGAGGGGATAAAGTGAGAGAAGAGTCTCCACAGTCGTAAGTAAGAAGACAGCGGGGCTGGCTTTCGAGGAGGAGGAAACCCTCAGAGTCGTCATACGCCGGATACCACCACTGAATGATGTTTGGAAAGGTTAATCAGCTTTCAAGACTGCATTTTACTTCCAACCTTAGCTAAATTTTTTGGAAATATTTTCTTAGTCAAAGGGAAGGGGATGAGAATGTGTGTCTGGAAAGTCAATTAAGTATACCAGGGTATCGAGAGGGCAGGATGTGTTCGTGTCAGTATCTTTGTGAAGCACTGTATTTCGGGCAGTTTTATTACACATCCTTTGGTTAGCATGTTGCTGGTTTAGATTTGCTTTTATTTTTTATTTTATTTTTTTTTGAGACAGAGCCTCAAGCTACCCCCTTGGGTAGAGTGCCATGGCATCACAGCT